TGATACGGAGACCCCTATATTCCTATATTGTTTTATAACCAAGTGAAAATGAGCGCCCCTCTTACTGATTTAACATAATCCCTTTTTCAATCTTTGCGAGTTATTCTTTCATTTTATTGATGATGAGACAATTCACCACATTATTCCCCTCTTCTTCTTAACTAGTCACTGCTTGATATTTTATTTACTTGTTCAAAATAATCGAAGGTAACCGCTCATGCCCGATTTGTGACTCAGTGCTATGTTTTTCATGGAGTAAAATTATTAAATAAGCTCCTTTGTAATTCGCTTTGAATTTATGTTGTGTTTTTCATGGAGATGTAATTCGCTTCGGATTTATGTTGTGTTTTCATGGAGCAGCATTTCATAAGGTAAGAGGAAAAATTACATTATATTTTATTAACTTATCTATGTCCTACGTGATCTGTGATTAAATATTATTAATCATAAGTTGTAAGTAAGTGAATTTATTCACTTGAAAATAATATAATATATTATTATTAATTTTATTAATCAACTTTCTAAATCATCATCTATAAGTCAATACTTCAATTTTAAAACAGTATCAATCATAAATAATAACTGTTATTTATACTATTTAAGACAATAAATATGCACCACAAAATCATAGTGCAGAAATGTGTGGCAGACATTTTTTTTAAATGTCAGTCTGGGTGCGGGGAGTGGGGGTCAACAGGTAAAAAGGCTTCAAACAGGAACTATGATTCATGCCAAATGATAGGTTATGGCTTAAAAAATGCTATAATGGCTAAAGATTCAAAAAATGATTTAATAACTACTTTAATTTGATTTAAAACTATTAATATAAAATGTTTAAACCACTGCCTGTGTCCATTTTCAACGCAAAAATACCCTAGAAATAGTCCATGTTAAAAACGTGCTAAAACATCATTTTCAGGTATTTAAATTTATTAAAACTCATGTGAAATTGAAGTTAAAGAAAGGTAAATTATTAATACAAATAAAACTTGCATTATTTTTGAACTGTTTTTATAAATAACTAGATTAATTAATCTGAGATAAACAGTTCGTTTAGGCCACGCGGTAGCCATTTTGAGAAATCTCCGATTTAGCTCTAAGAAGTGACTGGGAAGAAATTGAAACTGTATATCTTATGAAGTACAGATTCCAGCAAAACTGCCCATCCTTACGTAAAAATGGACACAGAATCTAAAAATGTCATTTAATAGTATTTAAGTTCACTTTAAAAAGGAGATATTAAAGAAATTTACTTGGCATATGACAAATAGTGAAATTTATTACGCTCAATAAAGACCGCTATTCAATTTAGGCGTCGTTTGATAGAGTACCCTCTTTTGAATGACGAAGAGCGCATGTCATCAATTCTGAACTGCTAGAATCGCAATCAAAAAAATTAATTTATAATTCGTTATGAAACAAAACATTTTCACGAGTCCGCCGATCCCTCTGCGCACCAAACTGCGCAACTTTCGTTTTGACTTTGTTTACATTGGAGATCGTTATCTCTATTATATTAATATTATTATAGGATAATTACTGAATAATTAATGGTGTCCCAGAAAACACTACACTTTATTGTTAAATTATCAGCAAAGACAGACTATACAATATAATTACTATATATAATGTTTTATAGTACACTTAAAATATGTTAAGCTTAAAAATCTATACTTCAACAATCTTATACAGCAAATACTAATAGTACTAATACATAAGAATAAGATATGTCATATTGATGAAACCAAACGCAAATATCTATAACTAAAGATGCTAGTGAAGTTTTATGTATTTTGTTTTTACTTATGAAACTCATTACTGACTGAAATAGAAAAAAAAAATAACATCTATATATTCCAATTATATCTCGGATCATTTGAGGAGGATATTGATGCTTAAATTACTACTGCTGCTGCTGCTGTTACTACTACTACTACTACTACTACTACCCCGTGTGGGTTCCGGGGCCCCATTTTGGGGAAAACAAGAATAGACCCACTGTCTCCCCAAAATCATGTCGTAAGAGTCGACTAATTGGGGAGCTTCCTTTGAAGTCAGAGTGCATCTGCCGGAGAGGCAAGAAACCAACAGTGTATTCAAGAGAATGAGATCTGTAAAACTGATGCACACGCAACATTCAGGTTCTGGAGCAGGACTGCAGTTCAGTAGTGGACGAGCAACCAGAACTTTCTGCCAGAGTGTACAGCTGGTGAATGCCAGGGGCTGCAATATAGGCAGGCCATCAATATGGCCAATTGTCTGAACGCGGTTTCTGGGACCTCTCCACGGTGGTCCTCATCCACATGGTGGCACTTTGTGTCATCGGGTGTTTATCGCTTGTGTGATGTCCTAGTGGGGTAGAAAGTCAGTCAGTCAGTCTCTATTGTCTCCAGATGCCCTTGTTGTTAAAGCATAAGATAATGAATATCATAGAAATAACCGTTATATATTATCCACTCTAATCATAACCCAGAAAGTCAAAACAGGATAATATTTTAATAAATTATATAAATGACTAACACAAATTATTATCATCATCATGTGCCTTGTCGTTTGGTGCAGGCGCTCATGCATCTCCACAGATCACGATCCCTGGTTGTCCATGCCATCGTTTCAGCCCATCCAGCATCATCTGTCTTGGTCTGCCTCTATCCCTCTTTCCACTGATCTTTCCCGCTGTCACAATGTTTTCTATTGCCTCTCTTCTCATTGTGTTGCCAAAGAACAGTGTCTCCTTCTTCTTGTTGTAAATAGAGATGTACTTTCATTAGCTTCTTTCAAACAATCGTTGTTAGGTTCTCTGGCTGTCCAAGGTATTCGTAATATTCGTCTCAGAAATCACATCTCTGTAGCTTCCAAATTCTTCTTAATTTGTTCAGAAATTATTTTATGGTATATAAAATAACATCAGTCAACACTGGAAACACAGTGCATACTTTATATTCAAATTATAACCCTGAGAGCTGCACAAGATAATATTTAGGTGAAAACTACCACTATTACTTTACACTGAAATCTTATTTTGAGTTGATAGGAACCCCAGCATATGGCAGAAGTCACATGACAGATAATGAAAAGTTCATGCTGATCTCATTGTCACAGAGGTTAAGCACTTTAAATTAACTTACAGACTATGATTTGCTATTGCATGATTCCACTGAACATTGTCTCTTATCTTTAGCATAATTGAGTTTTTTAACTTCCCTTGTCTCAAACACTGGCTTAGTGAGGTACCCTGTGTTAAAGCCTTAATTTTGGTTTCATTAATACATTATGTTTTAATCTTCAATTTAAAGCAGGTAAGAAAACTCATATAATGGGCCATATTTCTTCTGGACTGCAGTCCTTTTACTTTGGTTTAATTAAAACATTATGTTTTGATCTTCAATTTAAAGCAGGTAAGAAAACTCATATAATGGGCCAGATTTCTTCTGGACCGAGTGTTGCGTGTGCATCCATTTGACAGATCTGACTAATTTGTATGCGAACTGTTGGTTCCTTGCCTTTCAGGCAGATGCACTCCGACTTCGAAGGAAGCTCCAAATTAGTCGACTCTTACGACATGCTTTTGGGTAGGCAGTGGGTTTATTCTTGTTTTTCCCTATAATAGGGCCCCAGAACCCACACGGGGAAGCAGTATACTTACATCCTTCCCTATGTGGATGCGGGAGGATGGGGGGGGGGGGGAATAGACCCACCACGCCTCTAACAAGCATGTCTTAGAAGTCGACCAATTAGGGGTGTTTCTTTATAGTACTTTAAAGTACTTTCTTTAGATATAATTTACATGGCACAAAAAATAGAGGGACACCTTTTCCTGCATGGGTGGCAGGGTCTCATTTTGGGCGACAAGAATTAACCCCCTGTCCCACCACCCACTAATTAGATGTTTCCTTGAAAGCTGTAGTGCATCTGCTCAGAGGCAAGGAATCAACAATCTCGATACAAGTTAGCCAGATCTCTAAAATGCAAAACTCAAATTCTGGAAGAAGACCAAAGTCAGAGTGGATGAACAACAAGAACTTTCAGCTGAAGTTTACAGAAGGTGAACACCAAGAAAAAGAAGAAGAGAGGCATCCCTAAAACACATCAGATAAAAAAAAAATTAGTGTAGAGATGGATAATATGGGCTTGTTTTCTGGAGGTACTCAGTACTAGCACCTTTTTTTTTTAATGCGTAATTTTTCCCCAGCAATAAATTAATATAAACTTTGTGATGAGTATCTGTTCCTTGTTAAATGACTGTCGTTTGTCATAGTTGCTGTTATTGATCTCAGAACTGTTGAGTTATCTACTGTTGACATCCCAACTTGTATGATAGATAACATAATGGCCTACTGTCTTTGTTATCCCTTGTCTCTTTCCAAGATATCTTGTAGTAGTAGTATTTACATGGATAATGTCGTGTTTAACCCTCTGAATTACAAATGGGATATAAAGTAACAACAATTTGTTAGCAATGTACACTCAGGGAGGGGAAAGGGATATAGTGGTCATTGTATTTGTAATTCTTTCAGACCCAAGCAACGCTTGGTGTGTGAATGAATTTACCCATGATTCTCCTCCAACGTATAATGCACTCTCTTACTTTTACCATTTGGTCAGAACATACTTTAGAAATCTGGCTTCCTAATGGCCACCACAACTATGTATATTGCCATTTTAAAAGTAAAGTATTCATGACTTGACATCACAATTATTTTGTCACTTTAGCATCTCATGTAAAACCTTCTGGTACTAAAAGAGCTAATATACACTTTTTGCAAACTTATGTCATATGATTTATGCATTTTATTGTATTATTATTTAATATATGTTTATCATATAAATATTTATGTTTGGTGATTTATGTAATTTATATTATTTTTGCTTTAAATTTTATCCTGTTTACACCAAGTAATAAAGGAGACAAAAGACTTGCTGTCGCACACCTAATCAAATACTAATTTAGTTATTTTAACATTTGAAGGTTGTAGCTTCTGAACTGACGTAAACTCATAATGGCACTTGAGGCAATCCGCTACCAGAGGGGTAAGCTGGAAATCCTGGATCAACTATTGCTACCTGATGAAACTCACTACCTTACAATCACAGACACAGAAGATGGTTGGAAAGCAATAAAACAAATGCAGGTTAGAACTTCAGTCGTTCCATTATTTCAATGCATGTTTATACTATTGGCAAATTAGTAACTATTGAAATGAGATGTCTGAGAAAGGCTAGAGGAGTGATCAGAAGAGATCAAATCAAGAATAAAGTTATAAGAGTAAAAGTCAGCACAGAACTGAAGCTAATTTATATGCAAAGACAGCAAATAAAATATAGAGCACTTAGAGAGCTTATCATACCATATAAGGCATATACCAAAGGAGGAGAGGGACATAGAGCATGAGTTAGACCAAGATCAAGATGGAAAGATAACATCAGAAAAAAAGAAGTTTTATTAATATGATTACACATAACAGAGGTCATTGTGGCAACAAGCCTTTATCTGTGAACAAAGATAGCTCCCTTATGTGGGGGAAAACAAGAATAGACCCACTGCCTCCCCAACAAGTATGTCGTAGGAGTCGACTAATTGTGGTCATCCTTCAAAGTCCGAGAACATCTTCCTGAGAGGCAAGGAACCAAGAGTCTGCATACAAATAAACCAGGTGTGTGAATCAGATGTGCAAGTAACGCTCAGGGTCTGAAACAAACTTAAGTCCAGACGTTTATGAACACTGTGAACTTTCTGCTGGAGTTATAGCCAGTTATCACGAAGAACAACAACAACAACAGCAACGGTGACTATCAAGGCAAACAGACACTCAGATGGCTACATCAAAGCCCAATACATCAGTCAGCATATCAGCTCACATTAGTGCTAAACATTTTATTTAACTGAATATTCTCATATATTTTTGATCATACATATTATTATGAGATAATATATTAGTGTTATCTTTTTTTGTGTTTGCCAACAAAAATTTATCTGCTAACAATTTGTACATTTTTGGCTGTGTTCTAGTTAACTGATCCTTATCCATTTTTATTTTACTTTTACTTTTTTTAATTTTCGGAAGCACAACCTCTGTATTTGATTGTTTTTGTGTCCATGCAGTGCAACTTATATTTCCATATCACTAGACTATCAGTTCAACTTATTCTGCTGTATTTCCATATTCAGGACTATCAGTTCAACTTATTCTGCTGTATTTCCATATCACTGGACTATCAGTTCAACAATATTCTGCTGTATTTCCATATCACAGGACTATCAATACAACTTATTCTGCTGTATTTCCATATCAGTGGACTATCAGTTCAACTTATTCTGCTGTATTTCCATATCACTGGACTATCAGTTCAACAATATTCTGCTGTATTTCCATATCACAGGACTATCAGTTCAACTTATTCTGCTGTATTTCCATATCACAGGACTATCAGTTCAACTTAATCTGCTGTATTTCCATATCACAGGACTATCAGTTCAACAATATTCTGCTGTATTTCCATATCACAGGACTATCAGTTCAACTTATTCTGCTGTATTTCCATATCACAGGACTATCAGTTCAACTTATTCTGCTGTATTTCCATATCACAGGACTATTGGTTCAACTTTCTAATAGACAGTTTTGTAGACAGTGTTAAACTTTGTTTGAGTTTGTAAAATATTATTGTTTAACTGTATTGTTATCATCAGTATACTATTATTGTACAACACCATTGTTGTCATTGTTAAACTATTATTCTACAGTTGTTTTGTTGTATATCTTAGGTTCGAGGAGCACCTGCTATTGCAATTGTTGGTTGCCTGAGTTTGGCAGTAGAATTGACTGACAAAGACTTTGCAACACTTGTGGAGTTGAGGGACTTTGTGGAAGAGAAACTTGATTACCTGGTGTCTGCTCGTCCTACGGCAGTTAACATGGCTGATGCTGCAGCAAGAGGAAAGGCTTTGATAAGACAGCTTGTTAAAGGAGATGATTACACATCAGAGGAGGCCAAGCTTTTGTAAGAATTTCTTACGTTAACTTTTGAAGTTTTTTTAAGGCTTGTGCTTTTAACATGGTTATCAGTCATTAATCACGGTTTCAACTTCATGCTAGTGGATCACCCCATAATTGCTTTGGGTACAGTAATTAAAATATTGTACCTTGCTATGTTTCTATGTCCCCCCCCCCCCCCCCCCCCCCTCAAAAAAAAACCGCATACATAGTTATGATGAGAGAAAATAATTCCAGTGTTTGTTTTGGGATAAGTCAGTTTAAGGCAGAGGCTTTCAACTGTTCTCACTCCCCACCTCCTCTTTTTGATTACAGTTTAATTGCTATTGCCTTCAGATGCCAGTATTAAAATAAATTAAACTTACAATGTGCCAACAATTTGTACAGCTTTACACATCAATCTGGTATATTTATTAAGTACATTATACAGTAAAACCTTGTTAACATGAATACCAAAGCAACCGAAAAATCCTTCACTTGAAGTGAGTCCGTAACCAAGACACATTCGGTTATGTGCCCACTACTGGGGTCACATGTAGCCTATAATAGACACATTTAGCTATGTGTCCCCTCCTGGGGTCACATACAGCCTATAATAGACACATTTAGCTATGTGTCCCCTCCTGGGGTCACATACAGCCTATAATAGACACATTTAGCTATGTGTCCCCTCCTGGGGTCACATATAGCCTATAATAGACACATTCAGCTATGTGCCCACTCCTGAGGTCATATATACCCTATAAAAACACATTCAGCTAGGTGCCCTCTCCTGGGGTCACATATACCCTATAATAGACACATCTGGCTATGTGCCCACTCCTGGGGTCACATATACCCTATAATAGACACATCTGGCTATGTGCCCACTCCTGGGGTCACATATAGCCTATGAAAGCAAATATCACTGTATAAGCCTGGTTGACCTGTGGGGATGCAAAATAGTGCTGCTCTGACAAGATTACGTAAACAGCGACTAGTCCTGACCAACACTGTGAAATATAAGCAACCAAAGAACACAGTGGTCAGATCGAGAATGGGATCTCGTCGCCATGTCTCCCACATCTACCCTCACAGGTAGCATTCAGAATTATAGTACACCAAGTCCATGATTTCAAAGAGAACAAAACACTTTGTGAAAAACAGCTGTCAGGCGACAAGTCCATACGTCTGTCCTGTCTCACTGACTGGGAACTACTGAAGCAGATTTCCATGGGGTTTTCCCCCAGTGGTTGGGTTCACAAGGATCTCACACTTTCCTTGCAATAACTATGGGTACACATAAATTTCAAGCAACATCTGTTTCTTTCACAAAACTCCAGAGGCTCAAGCATCTTCAGTCCTCTCGTCAACCACATGAATATCAATGTGTACTCACTCTCCCTCTGACCTCTGGCATACTTACATAGCTCCCTCTGACCTCTGGCATACTTACATAGCTCCCTCTGACCTCTGGCATACTTACATAGCTCCCTCTGACCTCTGGCATACTAACATACTAAAATAAGTCAGCACACACAAGTTTAAAATCAGTTTGTGCTAACTGGGGACTAATAGATGTATTATCAATAATATTCCCCACTAGGACAAAAAAATGTGTTTATTTCACAGTGTTCATCTTAAATGAGTTCATGTTAACAAGGTTTTCTGTATGACTATTGTAAATCAGTTTACTTTTCTTCAATTTATTCATGAGCAAGCAATTCACCATATGTTTATTGTTAACTTCTTACATGATATTCTTTACTCAGCTGGGTGGATCTAATTCATTTGTTACACCCCTACACCCCCCTCCCCCCGCACCACACACACGCACATGCACACATACATACACACATGCGCGCGCACACACACACATACACAGACGTGCACACACACATACACACACGTGCTTGCTCGCGCACACACACACACACACACACAAACTACCAGCATTTTAACCATGCAGATCACAGCTGTAACAAAGACTCTAGTATGGCTACAGACCCATAAATTCACACACGCATATTTTCTGAGTGACTACATATATGATAAAAAAATATCACAACTGATCCATGCAAGAATGGGATAAACTATTACAAAAAAGGAATGCTTGATGGCGTCATTCATATTTGTCCAGGACACATGGGTGTAAAAGGAATGAGAGGTTGGATGCCCTTGCAGGAAATACAGCTCTAGGAAGTGAACCTTCTATAAACAGAATAGATGTAATTAATGCTATATTTGAGACAATACATGTTGAAGACCTTAAGCATGAACATAATGATTTCTATCTGACTGGAATGAAAAGTCTAGATTTATCAGTTGTAGCAACTTGACGTGAAACTATGCAAGAACTCACTGTCACTACATCAATCAATACAGAATAAGAGTCACCTGTGTAAACACACTAAAAAATATGCTAAGGAGAAGATTTGAGCATTTAAAAGTATGCCCAATGTGCAGGGAAGATGATCTTGAAACTGAACAATGAATGACCAAAACTGTTAAAACTTCTTAAGATCCCGAATGGATTAATTTCAAGAGGCAGTCTTCCCGTGTGGGTTCAAGGGTCCCATTGTAGGGATAACACTACAGAACTACTGCTCCCCAACAAGCATGTCGTAGGAGTTGACTAATTGGGAGCTACCTTTGAAGTCAGAGTGCATCTGCCTGAGTGGCAAGGAATAACCAGCTGCACACAAATAAGCCAGTAAAACGGATGTACACGCAAAACTCAGACCCCACCACAAAGTTCAAATGGATGAACAACCAAGCCTTTCCGCCAGAGCTTACAGCCAGTGAACAAAGAAAAAGACAGCTGGTGAACAAAGAAGAAGATAGCCGGTGAACAAAGAAGAAGACAGCCGGTGAACAAGAAAGAAGACAGCTGGTGTACAAAGAAGACAGCCGGTGAACAAAGAAGACAGCCAGTGAACAAAGAAGAAAACAATTGGTGAACAAAGAAGACAGCCGGTGAACAAAGAAGAAGACAGCTGGTGTACGAAGAAGACAGCTGATGTATGAAGAAGACAGCTGGTTAACAAAGAAGAAGACGGCCGGTGAACAAAGAAGACAGTGGGTGAACAAAGAAGATAACCGGTGAACAAAGAAAAAGACAGCTAGTGTACAAAGAAGACAGCCAGTGAACAAAGAAGGAAACGGTGTACAAAGACAGTTGCTTTACAAAGAAGAAGACAGTTACTGTACAAAGAAGAAGACAGTTGCTGTACAAAGAAGAAGACTGTTGCTGTACAAAGATAGTTAGTTAGTTAGTTAGTTAGTTGGGTTATCATCATTGCACTTCGGACATGTCCATAGGTGCTCAGATCCTCCCCTCAGTATGAATCCCAACGTCCGATGGCTAATAGTACCAGTTCTATGTTGATTAACAAATCTTCTGACGTGTCCGGTGTGCGTCTCGTTTTTTGCTGTGCCGATCTTAATTCCCAAGTCTGCCATTCTGGCGAGTGATGTGGATTCACTGCCACCAAAGTCCTCTATCCTTCCCATTTCTCTGAGGGCATTGATAATATCAGCATGATCCATAGGCCGACCGTCGGTAGTGATAGCGGATCCAGCCAGCCTGTCAGCTCTTTCATTTCCATCGACGCCTGCGTGTCCCGGAACAAAAATAAAGGTGACTCCTCGCACAGTGGACTTCTGAATTGATTCAAGCCATTGTCTTCGCACTGAACCTGCCTGAACCCTCCGGATCATACTCATTGAATCACTGAGTATACATATGCGGGTGTATTTTTGTGTTTCAAGCCAGGCAAACGCTTGCGTCACTGCCATCACCTCCATCGTCATGCTGCTGGTTGTCATGGAGAAGGCGCCGTTGGCTTCTTTGACTGTTCTGCCCGCTGAGCGTGCTGTAAATGCCCATGCGCTTCTTCTTTGGCGTATAACGGATCTGTCTGTATAGATTAGTGCATCTGCTTCGTCTGAATTTTCACCGATGAGAGCGTTGACCTCTGCATTAACAGCAACAGGATTCTCTTCTCTACATCGCCTGTTGAGTGTGACAATACAGGAAAATGTACAAATAAACGCCTGAGGCACAGGTATCCATTCTGCACCAGGTATGATGTCGGTTAGGCTGCATATTTGCCTAATAACATCTTCTGCCCGACCTAGCCATGATTTTCCCCTCTTCAGTCTGTCGCCCTTTTGCTGTACAAAGAAGAAGACAGTTGCTGTACAAAGAAGAAGACAGTTGCTGTACAAAGAAGAAGACAGTTGCTGTACAAAGAAGACGATGGGTGAAAAAAGAAGAAGACAGCTTGTGTACAAAGAAAACAGCTGGTGAACAAAGAAGAAGACAGCTGTTGTACAAAGAAAAAGACAGCTCTTGTCCTAGATGTACACCCTCTCAAACTGCTGTAAGTCTGTCTGTTGTTATTGTTCTTCTAGTTTTATTGTTGTCTACCTCTTGGTCTCTTTCCATTGGCTTTTCCCCTTCAATATGGTTTTAAATACATATTTTCAAGACCATTTTTTAATTTTAAGCAACTCAATTTAAAATTATTCATTAATATTTCAGTTTACCATATCTTTGAAATTTCAATCCTTAAAAGGCTGATCAAGGAATATGAAAGCATGCTGCAGAAGGACATCGATGTGAACAAGAGTATAGGGCATTTTGGTGCCAAGCACATTTTGCAACACAACAGTGAACAACCAGTGAACGTCCTGACTCATTGCAACACTGGATCACTGGCCACCGCTGGTTACGGAACTGCTTTAGGTTAGTGACTGCAAATGTTGCAGAATAAGATCAACATCATCATGTTCTAATATTTCTGTTTGTTTAAACTATGCCAGTAATTTGTTGTATAAATATCATAAATTACGGCATATAGGTCTGACCAGGTATACAAGTCAGCCTTTAAGATCTAGTTTTGATATTTATTTATTTTAGAATTTCCAATTGTGGGTTCCGGGGCTCCATTGTGGGGGAGGACAAGAACAGACCCACTGCCTCCCCAACAAACAGACGACTAATTGGGGGTTTCCTTTGAAGTCGAAGTACATCTGCCTGAGAGGCAAGGAACCGACAGTCTGCATACAAAGCAGTCAGATCTGTAAAACGGATGTGTATGCAACACTCAAGTTAGTGGAAAAAGAATAAAATCCAGAGGTGGACAAACAACCAGAACTTTCCACTGGAGTTTACAACCAGTGAATGCGAAGAAGGAGAAAAAGACTCCACAATTTACAGAATGTGTCCAAGAGATGTAGAATGTACAGATTTCATCAAAAGATTGTACACATATTTCAGCAGCAATACAACCACAAAATGTGTGTATGTGTCTATCTCATCTTTAGCTTTTAAATTTTTTTTTTGTATCTTCCGGTGGAAAGTTTTTTTATTCCACCAGTGGAGCATAGCACTCAGGATACTCCAATAAGCGCTCAATCCCCCATCTTCAGCAGCAAACAAAGAGTTCCAATTCCAATGGCACCAGTTACTGTCTGATTGTATATCCATCTCACCCTTCCCCTGAGTGTTGAGCGTCTTCCAGATCCCCTGGTAACTCCTTTCATCGCCATTCTCCTCAGACCGTAATGATCTGTCTGCGCCTCCGCACTGTTCACTCGCTCCCAAAGGGCCCTCACAATATCTAGCTTGTCATATATCAGTTCACACCCAAGTGGTGCAGAGCTGGCCATCTATCTGCCTGCTTATTTCCCAGCACACCGGCATGACCTGGAGAAAATATCCAAAGGACCTCTGAATTGATGCTTGCCATTCTGCACAGAGTATGCCTGTCGCCAGCTTTCTCAACATGCTCTATGAGTCAGTTACAATCACGGCATGTGTGTACAGCTGAAGGCAGCAGTGACTGCGTCCACCTCCATTCTCAAATTAGATGTTGTGATTTCACATGCAGACCTTCCGCTAACTCAAGTCAAGTCATCAAGTCTTTTGCTACCATATGCAACTCAGCTCATGTCCTCTCCATCTTCTAGTTTCACTGTCTAGTTCCCTTGTCCATGTGTTTTTCGTATGCCTTTTATTTCTATGCCCATTTCAGTGTATTTTTTTTCTTCACTGGAATTCATTTGGTTCTGTCCCAATGTTCAGCATTAGTGATTCTATCATACCATTTAATCTCCTCTATTCTGCACCGGCTCCAGTTAATGAGTGTGTGCAGTTTTTTTAGTAATTATTTTAGTTATTCTCCATGTCTCCGCCCTATAGAGCAGTTAGTTAGTTAGTCTGTCCTCTTGAGCCTAGGGTGGCGCATAGTGCATATGTTATAGCTCTCCATGTCCGAGGGTTCACCTGTTTTAGGTCTTGGATGTTCATTAGGCCCGTGGTTGAGCCTCTCCCTGATGGTGGTTCTATGCAGGGTCTCTTTTGGTCTTCCCCATTTTCTTTTCCCTTCCGGTGTCCATATGAGGGTTTGATGGGGGAGTCTGGTCTTATCCAGTCTCAGTGCTCGGCCGATGAAGTTCCAGCAGCACTTTCTTATAAAATTGCATACAATATCTTGCTTGGTTTCTGGTCTTATTTACGTATTGGATTTGAAATATGTTCAGTGGAGATTTAGTATTTATAGTGCAGTACTGATTTGATATTAGAAGGTGAAGCACAGATTGTTTATTGTTGAAGTTATTAAACTGCTTTAATTTGTTTCAGGGGTCATCCGATGTCTTCAAGAGCACAAAAAACTAAATCACGTATACTTCACGGAGACCAGACCTTACAACCAAGGTGCCAGGTTGACTGCTTATGAGCTAGTTCATGAGAAGATTAATGCTTCTCTCATCTGTGACAGTATGGCTGCTGCGTGTATGGCAGAAAATAAAATTCATGCTGTCATTGTTGGGGCTGATCGAGTGGTTGAAAATGGAGACACTGCCAACAAAATCGGAACATACCAGTTGGCCATTGTCGCTAAGTATCACAGTGTACCTTTCTATGTGGCATGCCCAAGGACCACTTTTGACCCCCAGAAAAAGTCTGGCAAGGATATACACATAGAGATCCGTCCTTCTCATGAAATGACGACAATCAAGGGCATCAGAATAGCTGCTGCAGGTTAGTATTTTGTTCATATACAGCTTGTGAGGTGAAAAAAAAAAGTTAGTTGCATATTTCTTGAAGAACTATTAGAGAGTCCATTGTGGGTAGACGCACACCTGCTGGCCTGAAGGTCTAAGATGAAAATCTGCATTGAGACACATTTGTTCAAAATTGACCTTGACTTCCAAGTTCACGACTAAATGTGTCTTCTGCTTGCGCCATTCACGTTTTTCCCCTTTTCAGCCTCTGACCCTTGCCTGTAGCCAAGGCTTCATACAGAGGGTGTTCCCTGTCTGCAGCTACTCTGAGGTATGACTTAGCCTGCAGCACTTTTAGCCTATCTGCAATAGTCGACAATGCAAGAATGTATCGCAAGTACACAATCGGGGTGTCTCTTATACAACCCAGGATCATCCGCATAGCTTCATTCTGTATGCGCTCCAGTTTCTCTAGCTGACTCTTCGAGACAGTAACCCCAATCCATAATCAATCACTGAGAAGATTTACCAGGATGTATGTCCTGGGGAAGTAAAGATGGCCAGCGTAATGCTGACCCTATTACCCACCTAGTGCCGATTGGTCTGTAAAAATATGGGTGCTCTTCCCATATGCCCGATGCGCATAAAGGCGTGAAAAGGGATCTTTACTTTACTTTTTACAGAGGCATAGTATGATGACCTGTCCATACTGGTCAGTTAAGTGGTAGTCCTTATTGGCACCTTTCACCTTAAATTAATAACATTTCTTCTTTATGTGCCCTGATTAACTTTGATTTTGTTAGCTTACCAGGGAGCTGTGATAGCATAGTTGCTATATGCTTACCTTCTGTCCTAGAAGTCTTGGGTTGGAATCCATTTTTTTTCTCCTCTTTTTCTTTGTCCACCTGTTGTAAGTTCTGGCAGAAAGTCCTGGTTGTTTGTCCATTTTGACATTGGTTTTGTGCCAGGGCCCGAATTTTCCGTGTACATCCGTTTTACTGGCTTATTTGTGTGCAGTTGGTTTCTTGCCGCTTGGGCAGATGCACTCCGACTTCAAATGAAGCTCCAAATTAGTCGACTCTTACGACATACTTTTTTTGGGGGGTCGGCAGTGGGTCTGCCCCCCCCCCCCCTCCTAACACACACACAATGAGCCCCCATAACTCACAAGTGGACTTTTTTTTCTTATTTAAATTGACCTTGGCTCACAGGTTGATCCCGCCTTCAATGAGTACCAACCAGATAAGATTATGGTAAGTAAAAGTGGTCAGCATGATGTTGACCATATCACTCACAGAGTGCTGATGGGTGTATACAAAATGTGAGTCTAGTATCATAGGCTTTCCAGCCAAATCTAGAAATTAAGTATACTATGCCCTTCAACATCTGCTAAAGTCAAAGTGTGTCTCGCAACACCAAGAACAAAATAGAAAAAAACGTTGATTAGATCCGTCGTGTTATATGGCTCTGAAACTTGGAGCACAACTAAAAGAGATAAAGCCTTATTACAGGTTTTCAAAAACAGTTTCATGGTTTTCTAAAACAGAGTCATACGACGAATCTTTGGACCCATCCAAGATGCAAACAGCGGTGAATGGAGAGTGAGAAGCAACAATGAAATTCATAATCTGTTTAAATCACCACTGATCACTGGCATCATAAGAGCTAATAGACTTAAATGGTTAGAGCATACTGAAAGAATGTCAGATGACAGAGAAGTAAATACTATACACCATGGAGATGAATGGTTGTATACCATGAGGCAGACCAAGAAGACGATGGAGAGATAATATCCAGACTGACCTGCAAACTTTTGGTGTCGCCAACTGGAAAGAGAGGGCCAACCAGAGAGATGAATGGTGGTGGGTGATATCTGCAGCAATGAACCTCAGGGACTCGGAATGCTGAAGAAGAAGTACATCATAGGCTTAATATACTTCTTCTTTCTTCTTTACGTCCTCTTTTACCACTTCAGGTGTCGAGGGAGATATAAGGTCCTGCTTCGTACGTTTCTGGCTGCTTTGACCATAGACACATCGTGGTGCTGTAGAGTTTCTCTGATGTTATCCTTCCATCTTGTTCTTCCTTTTGCTCCCTCTCCTCTTTTGATATATGCCTTGTATGATGTAGCATCAGAATGCATTCTCTCCAAGTGGCCAAACCATTTGATTTGCTATCTTTCTATGTAATTTAGAATTGGTTCTGTGCCGCCTTCATCTCGTATGACCTCATTCCTGATTTTATTTCTTCTGGACACTCCTACAGCCTTTCTCAGACACCTCATTTCCATGGTTACGAATTTTGTTTTATGTTTTGTTGTGAGTGACCACGTCTGGCACTGGTAGCATAGGGTGGGAGTAAATATGCTTTGTATGAGATGTCTCTTTGTGCTGATTGGGATTGCCTTATGCTGTAAGAGCTGTCCCAATATTTGGCCAGCTTTAGTGCATTGAATGTCAATTTATTCTTTTAATTTACTATCTTCAGTGAATGTTGTTCCAAGATATTTAAATTTAGATGCCTGTTTAATATATGTACAGGCATTTAAAAAAATTTCCTTTACATATTTACAATGAATGTTTGATATTCCTCGACCAGGTATCGATTGTTGGAACCCAGCCTTTGATATAACTCCAGCCGACTTGATCACAGGGGGGATAATCACTGAATTTGGTGTTTTCAAACCTGAAGAGCTGAAGGTCAAGTTTGAAGAACATGAAAAAGATGGCAACTGCTAGCAGAAGTTTGGTTTATAGATTTAATATTCTCATAAAGAGTTTCTGTGGGATAATACTTCTTTTTCTTGTTTACCGGCTTTAAATTCTGGCAGAAAGTTCTGGACTTTCATCTTGTTCCAGAACTTACTCATCCATTTTATAGACCCTGCTTATTTATATGCAGACTGTTGGTTCCTTGCCTCTAAGGCAGATGCACTCCGACTTTGAAGGAAGCACCACCAATCAGTCAATTTGTATGACATGCTTGTTAGGGGCAGTGGGTCTATCTCCCCCACCAATGGAGCATTGGATCCACCCACACAAGGAGGATAATACTATTGGTGACATTATATTCAATAAAGATGTGATTGGCAGAAAGAGCATAAACCAATTTATTATTTAATAGCTGAGTAGAATGTGTTAAAGGTATAATACACTAGGAACAAACGCAGCAGTGGTTTCTCCAGGAACTGATACGTTCTGTTGGAGATCACAGGTTGTGAACAGGCATGATCACCTACACCAGTCGGCAAGGCACTTTAATAAAATGACGATTTAACATCACTGAGAACTGTGTTTTTATCTGCCATGCTTTTAACATTGGGCTAGAAAGGAAAAATAAACAGATATTGCATTTTTTACATGACTGATTTTTTTGCTTTGGGCGTAATTATATTGTGCCTGTTTATACAAATTAAGGAAGCATTTACAAGTGAATCCACCAGATTAGGGAAGCCTTTAAATGTGAATCCACCAGATTAGGGAAGCATTTACAAGTGAATCCACCAGATTAGGGAAGCATTCACAAGTGAATCCACTAAATTAAGGAAGCCTTTAAATGTGAATCCACCAGATTAGGGAAGCATTTACAAGTGAATCCACCAAATTAGGGAAGCCTTTAAATGTGAATCCACCAGATTAGAGAAGCATTTACAAGTGAATCCACCAGATTAGGGAAGCATTCACAAGTGAATCCACCAGATTAGGGAAGCCTTTAAATGTGAATCCACCAGATTAGGGAAGCATTTACAAGTGAATCCACCAGATTAGGGAAGCATTTACATGTGAATCCACCAGATTAGGAAAGCATTTACATGTGAATCCACCAGATTAGGGAAGCATTTACATGTGAATCCACCAGATTAGGGAAGCATTTACATGTGAATCCACCAGATTAGGGAAGCATTTACATCTGAATCATGATACATAATTTAAGCTATAATCTCTTGATCGGTTCCGTGAACATCTCTCGGATATTGAAAAGAAGATGCTCAAACCAGTCCCTCTTCAGTTCAACAGTTCTGACTGCAAAGACAAAGATGATCTATCCGTCACTGTGATACACTAGGAACAAACGCAGCAGTGGTTTCTCCAGGAACTGATACGTTCTGTTGGAGATCACAGGTTGTGAACAGGCATGATCACCTACACCAGTCGGCAAGGCACTTTAATAAAATGACGATTTAACATCACTGAGAACTGTGTTTTTATCTGCCATGCTTTTAACATTGGGCTAGAAAGGAAAAATAAAAGATATTGCATTTTTTACATGACTGATTTTTTTGCTTTGGGCGTAATTATATTGTGCCTGTTTATACAAATTAAGGAAGCATTTACAAGTGAATCCACCAGATTAGGGAAGCCTTTAAATGTGAATCCACCAGATTAGGGAAGCATTTACAAGTGAATCCACCAGATTAGGGAAGCATTCACAAGTGAATCCACCAAATTAAGGAAGCCTTTAAATGTGAATCCACCAGATTAGGAAAGCATTTACAAGTGAATCCACCAAATTAGGGAAGCCTTTAAATGTGAATCCACCAGATTAGAGAAGCATTTACAAGTGAATCCACCAGATTAGGGAAGCATTCACAAGTGAATCCACCAAATTAAGGAAGCCTTTAAATGTGAATCCACCAGATTAGGGAAGCATTTACAAGTGAATCCACCAGATTAGGGAAGCATTTACATGTGAATCCACCAGATTAGGGAAGCATTTACATGTGAATCCACCAGATTAGGGAAGCATTTACATGTGAATCCACCAGATTAGGGAAGCATTTACATCTGAATCATGATACATAATTTAAGCTATAATCTCTTGATCGGTTCCGTGAACATCTCTCGGATATTGAAAAGAAGATGCTCAAACCAGTCCCTCTCCAGTTCAACAGTTCTGACTGCGAAGACAAAGATGATCTATCTGTCACTGTGATACAGTCTCGCTCTGGTAATCAAACTGCACGTTTCTCTTTGAAAAATCACCTCATCCATAGTCTAGGCATTCTAAGCCCAGGAGGTATTAGTGTTCAGCAGACCTTTATCTAAAGTTTTACTGTTCTTACTTTCATTTTATTCTATTCTGTTTTTTAATTAATATTTATGGATCATTAGCAATTTTTTTTCTTTCTACTGCTCTTTTATTCCTACTACTATTTTATATTTTCCCTATTACTTGTATTACCATTTTGTTAGCCCTCATTTATTTTTCATTTTATTACCACATCTCCTTTTTTATAGTTATTCACATGACCCTTTTCTGGGTACTGGTGTCCCCCCCCCCCTTTTCCCTTTCGTTGTGATTTGTGGTCACAGCTCACTAGAACTATTTGCCTGTTTACAGTACGCTGGTAACTGAACTTACAAACCACTCTAGATACAAACTTTTAGAGACCAAATTGATTCATATCCCATTTTGACCTCTACATATAAGCCTAGATTTAAGATACGAACCATGTAACACTGCATATGCACGCATGTTTGTTGTTACTACATTGTATTTGGGATTAGATGCAACTAGTGGTGTGTGCGACACATACTGAACTTACATAGTTGCTATTTTGTTCATCTATTTTAATATCCGTGTAATCAAACAATAGTTAGTTGATATACTTGCGGGGGGTATTACAATTCAATTTATAATTTAGGTATCGCATATTATTTTCTAACATAAGCCGAAGAAAACTAAAAAAGAAGAGAAAAAGAAAATCACAAAAGAACTCAAGGAAGAAATTGTGGGAAAATATGAGGAGTCAGACAAACTGATTTGTGCAAGCAGTAGAACTTGTCCAAGCCTATCTTAGCTACAGTTGTCAAGAAAGCAGACTTTTATCAGGAACCGGCTGTGGCCAAAGGAGTATCTATCATCTCATCTCGAAGAAATAAAGTTATGGAAGAAAGAGAAACTTTACTGCTCGTCTGGATTAACATATTTCAGAATAGGATCTGTTTAAAAGTTCCAGCTGTTTACTAAGATCTATCCCAGAACTTACCATCCACGACCAGTAGCAAAGACATCGGTGAAGAGTTAAAACCTAGCAAAGGATGGTCTGAGAAATTCAAGAATTGATCCATTATCCGTAGTTAGATATGGACAAGGTGCTTGTATGGACACCCTCCCAAGCCACAGAAAAGTTTATGAAGGAAGTTCAGAAACTGGATTCAGAGGGTTACAGACATCAACTGTGATGAAACCAGACTTGCCTAAGTTTGTTTTAGTATCCAGAAGCCATGAGTTGTTAACCCTTAGGCTCGGTATTATGGATATCGCAACCTTTCGGCCTTGATTCCATTTTAAATACCGTAAATCTGGGAGAAATGTGGCTTTTCTGCCTACCCCCGGGAGTGAACCCCGACCACAAGGAGTTCGTCACCCGCTCACCGCGCAATCCGGTTTAGCCAACTACGCTAGAGAGACGGGCAGACTTGCCTAAGAGAAGTTCATCAATAAGACAGAAATGGCACTGCTAAATCACAGGCCAGTGAAAGACAAGACTAACATTGCTCTTTTGTGCCAATGCCAGTGGTGATGTGAAGATAAAACCTCTGTTGTCTTATTACTCTGAAAATCTGATTGCTCTTTTGTGCCAATGCCAGTGGTGATGTGAAGATAAAACCTCTGTTGTCTTATAACTCTAAAAATCTGATTGCTCTATTGTGCCAATGCCAGTGGTGATGTGAAGATAAAACCTCTGTTGTCTTATCACTCTGAAAATCCTAGTCTTTAAACAACAAAGTTAACAGATGACACTAACTCAACTTCATGTGCAAAAGTAACGGCAGAGCTTACGTAACCAGCAATTCTTCAATGAGTAGATGATAAAGGTCTTTTCTCCCACAGTGAAACGGTCTCTACAAGAAAAGGTCTGACTGAGAAAGTTCTTGTAAGTAAAAGTTTACTTTTTAAATCTGAGAAGGGATTGATTGATTTCTCATAAAGGATGTAATGGAAAATTTTGTTTCAAGATACAAACTAGTTAGGGAGGAATTAAGTTCATACGTCAAGGTACAACTGTAGAGCTGTGATATTTTATGCCTTTCAGCTGACACATCCAGCTTCTTTAGATAATTGTTTGCTTTCCTAGTTAGTATGTGGAACTTTGTTGCATAGCCTTGCTGTGTTGTCTTCACCTTAACCCACCAGTGGTGTCTTGTGGGGAGCCTGATCAGAATAGTTGCATTTATAATGACTGGCCATCAAGCAAAGGCTGGAGTATTGCGCATTGTTCAAGATAAAGTGTCCAATAACGTGGAGCCGATACTTGCTCCTCTGGTACTGAAACCAGAACCCATTGCCCCAGACACACACCCCCACCATCCCACACGAGTGAAGCAACAAAAAGGGTTATTTGACATGTTAGGTTGCTTTTATTGAAAATGTGTGTATGAAAAAGTACAAACCTTATATGAAGCATAAATCTGTTATGTTACTTTGCCACGCACATATGAAGAGAAAAAACTATGTAAAGATGACATCTGGAATTCCATTCAAGAAGGTACCTTTTATTTAAATGACCCCCCCCCCCCCATTCCCACACGTCACTCTTCTGCTATCATGACTGCTGTCACTGCACACTGGGCATCCCCATGTCTGTGCTCAGATGCTGCAGGCTTCTCCACCTGGCTGCCATGACTTCTTGGTTTGGCTTTGGTCAAGGATTACTTTCATTGCACACTGGGTTCCACTGAGTGCTCCAGTATCCTGGCAAATTCCAGCTGACCGCACTAACTCCATAGCAACA